TGCCAAATGTCTTCTCTGATGTAAGGGGGGTGACTCAAATGGGATAGGGAAGAAGAGCATGAGAAGAAGACTACCACTAAATAAGGAAGAGAGGTGGGAGGGAAAAAGAGGGAGAAGGGGAGTTACATGGAAGATGGAAGGAGAACCTCATTGTGATACAGAATACATATATGATGTTGTAATGAGAAAAAGAAAAAAAAGTGTGTAACATTAGATTGGATGGAGAGAAAGGATGGGAGAGGAGGGGAGGAGTAAGGAGGATAGGAAGGGCAGCAGAATAGAATTGACAATATGATTGATGTATGTACATTCCATGTATGTATTATATGTCAAAATTCATTCTGCTGTCATGTATGACTAAAAAAAAAAAGATTTAAAAAAAAAAACCTTTTTAATTTGATGCCACCCCATGCATTAACTCTTGGCATTATTTCCTGAACTTTGGGGGTCCTGTTGAGAAGTTAATGCCTGTGCCTCTTTGCTGGAGTGTGACATTTTCTACTAGTTATTGCAGTGTTTCTGGTCTAATGGCTATGTCTTTCATCCATTTTGAGTTGATTTTTTGTGCAGTTTGAGGTAAGGTACTAGTCTCATTCTTCTACATAAGGATAACCAGTTTTCCCAGTACCATTTGTTTAAAAGGCTGTCTTTTCCTCAATATGTTTTTGGCGCCTTTGTGTGAATTTGTCTGTATTCTATTTTGTACCACTGGTCTGTTTTAATGCCAGGACCATGCAGGTTGTTAGCTAGATAGCTTAATTTGAAGACAGACACTGTGATGCCTCTAGCACTGCTTTTTTTGGCTTAGAATTGCTTTGGCTATTCTCAGTCTTTTATTCTTCCAAATGAATTTTAGGACTGTTTTTGCTAGTTCTGTGAAGAATGTCATTAGTATTTTGATGGGGATTGCATTGAATCTGTGTATTGCTTTTGGTGATATGGTCATTCTAGTAATTTTAATTTTTTTTTTCAGAGAGCGAGAGCGAGAGAGAGAGAGAGAGAGAGAGAGAGAGAGAGAATGAATTTTAATATTTATTTTTTAGTTTCGGGCGGACATAGCATCATTGTTTGTATGTGGTGCTGAGGATCGAACCTGGGCCGCAAGCACGCCAGGCGAGCGCGCTACCGCTTGAGCCACATCCCCAGCCTTAGAAATTTTAATTTTGCCTATCCATGAAGACCATGGGAGGTCTTCCCATTTTCCAAAGTCTTCTTCAATGTTTTTCTTCAATGTTCTATAGTTTTCATTGTAGAGGTCTTTAACTTCCTTGGTTAGATTTATTCCTAGGTATTTTCTTTCTCTTTATTAGGCTATTATGAATGGAACTGTTTTCCTGATTGTTTTCTCAGCAGATTCATTGTTATAATAGGAATGCTATTGATTCTTGTATGTCAATTTTATTATAACCTAGTACTTTGCCAAACTTTTAAAAACTTTTAGTTGTAGATGGACACAATATCTTTATTTTATTTATTCATTTTTATGTGGTGCTGAGGACTGAACCCACTGCCTCACACATGCTAGGCAAGCACTCCACCACAGAGCTACATCCTTCACCTTACTTTGCCAAATTTATTAGTCCTAATAGTCTTCCAATGGAGGTTTTTTTTTTTTTTTTAATCTTCCAGATTTACGATCATTGATGAGATTCTTTAGAGAAAATGTAGACTGTGTTAAGGAGAACCCTGGAGAACATGAACATTTAAAGAACAAAGTTAAAGAAGAGGCCAACCAGAAGAGATTATCACACAAAGCAAAAGAATAAAGAATGGTCAAAAGTGGCCAGGTAATACAGTGATAGAAAAAAACAAAAATAAGTAGCTGATTATTTTAGACTAGCTGGGATTGATGCAGGACTGCAATTGATAGAGAATTACGCAATTGCAAGGTAAGGAACTAGAGATCTACAGAATGTAGACAAAGCTTAAGAAGACTAGGTAAAAAGAGAAGAAAAAAAGACAAGCTCAAAGTGGTGATACATGCACAACTGTAGTCCCAATTATTGGGGAAGGTGAGACAGGTGTATCCTTTAAGTCCAGGAGTTTGGAGCCAGCCTAGACAACTTTGTGAGAGCCTGTCTTAAAAAAAAAAAAAAAAAAAAAAGCCAGTAGCTAAAGGGTTAATGTGATTTTTTTTTTTTCTCTCTCCCTCTTTTTGTACTCGGAATTGAACTCAGGGGCACTCAACCATTGAGTCACAACCCCAGCCCTATTTTGTACTTTATTTAGAGACAGGGTCTAAGTCAGTTGCTTAGTGCCTCACTTTTGCTGAGGCTGGTTTTGAACACATGAACCTCCTGTCTCAGTCTCCCAAACTTCTGGGATTAAGGCATGAACCACTGCACCGGGCTTATCTCTTTTATGTTACCCAGGATAAAATACCTATAATTGTTTATAAGAGAAAGAAAAAGAGCCAATAAAAAAGGGGAAATATATAAAATGTAAGAGAGATGCGAAAACAGGCAAGGAGAAAAGCATTTAGATGCACAGCTATTAAAATTTAGGATAACTACTTTATAAAGGTATCCATTGAATTCTTATTCCAGATCCTGTGACAAATGACAATAAAACTACTATAAATAAAGATACTGCCTGGGGCTAGGGTTGTGGCTCAATGGTAGAGTGCTTTCCTAGCATGTGTGAGGCAATGGGTTCAAAACAAAGGTATTGTGCCCATCTGCAACTAAAAAAAAAAAAAATTTAAAAAAAATAAAGATATTGCCTAATGTTATAAAAACTGAAATCTATATCAGCTAACTTTTCTAGGCCAATTATGAATTAATTCAACAGGTAGTATTTCTTCACCCATATACTCAGCCTCTAAATATAGGAAAATATTTTGGCTTAGCCTACAGAAGGTCTAATCCTTGATAAAACAAGGTAAAAGTTCACTTTATTTAGTCTTCTTTGACCAAGTACTTGTTAGCATTCCCATCCCCTACCTTTTCTAATCCAAACTCCATGTTTCTACTCTTTGCTTCAAGACTCCTAAAATCTGCCAGATGAGGTAGAACCATGCCTATAATCCTAGTACTTGGCAAGCTGAGGCTGGAGGATCATTTGAGCCCAGGAATTCAAACCAGCCTGGACAACATATGGAGAATCCATGTCAAAAAAAAAAAAAAGGACTTATAAAACAAATTTTATGATTTGAGGCATTGACAGCACACTGAAACTTTAAAACCAGACCTTTTCCCTCTTTCTTCTTGTATTAACTTCTAGACAAAGTTTTTGACAAGGAAATGTTTTATTGGAAAACAGCTTCTTCATTAGTTTGTGTTTTCTCCAAGCCCCCCATTTATAGCTGGTTATGGTGGTGCAGGCCTGTAATCCCAGCAACTCCAGAGGCTGAGACAGGACAATCACAAGTGTGAGGCCAGCCTCAGCAACTTAGTGAGATATTGTCTCAAAATAAAAAATAAAAATGGCTGGGGATGTGGTTCAATGGGTAAATGCACCTGGGTTCAATACCTGGCCATGTGGTTGGGGGAAAATCCATATCTATAACATTTATAATGCTACCCTCATCCTGACAAAATTAAACCAGAATTATTGTTTGGTTATAAGAAACAAAATCTAGATGTCCTACCTTTCAGGCTATTGTTCATGGAGAGTATGCCTTATCAAATATTATACTTTCAATGCATCTCACATTGGCAAACTAAGGTCAAATACCCAAATCCAAGAAAAGAATTTTAAAACAAATTCATAGGAACCACAGAAATCACTATATAAAGATGACCTATACCTAATCCATATGGGCAATAAAATGGTAAGGCAAGGAAAATGTGCTACTCTATTTTTGTGTTCTCTCACAGATCTCCCAAAACACAAGTAAACAAATACCACCTCCTTTTTGTACTGGGGATTCAATCCCAGGCCTCTACCACTAGGAATGTAGTACACCCCAGCCTCCCCTGCCTCTACACTTTTTCCCTAATTTTGAAATAGGAGGCTGACCTTAAACTTGCAATCCTCCTGTCTCAGCCTCCTGAGTCTCTGGGATTACAGGTATGCGTCACAGCACTCAGTTTAGCAGAATTTTTAATTGATCCAAGCATTAACCCATTCCACGGATGTGAGGCAGCTGTACTGTTGAATGTTTAGCTTTTTTAAAAATCTTTGAGGGGGTAAAAAAAAAAAATCTTGAAGAAAACTCTCAAAAGATGGGGACGGAAGGACTAAGTATATAAGGGCCATAGTCAATGAAAAGGTGGGATTAAAAGTGCTCTGAAGACTTCCAACGCTGTGTCCAAAGGGTGCTACTTGCGTTTACCCTGAAGAATTTAGAAGAGGCTACAACACTCGTTCGCTGGGCCTTCAGAACGAACAAGCCAATTCTAGCATTCACAACTGGTATTCCTTTTTTGTTGGGGCGGGGGGAGGTTACAGCCGTTCAGATTTGTATTCGAACAAGACTCATTCACTCACCACAAATAAAACCACACAGAACTTTCGATGCAGGTGACAAACCCAGGTATTGACTAACTAGATGCGCTTTGGCTGCTCTGGGAGATAAGCTTAGTGAAGAGACGCAGATAACTGACTGTACAACTGCGTTTGTTCAGTCCGACCTCAAACCACATCATAAGTTGTTTACCAAGGCTCTGACAGATCTGCTCCATCCCTAAGCATCTTAGCTGTACGTCAGAGATGCCGTGAGAGAAGTGGCTTTCGGTTTAGCTAGTCCAAACCACCTCACACATGGAAAACAGCTCGCCGGCCACACAGCTCCGCCCGCTTCCCTTCTCCTCGTTTCCCCGAAAGGGCGACTAACCCGCCAAAGGCTGTGTCTGTCCAGATCCCGCCGGCCAGCCTCGCGGCGGTGGCGACTTCCAGTCCCACCACACAGGAGAACGCCGGACCCCTTCGACTCTTTTAGGTAATGGAGACTCTCTCCCTGGAATCCCGCAGCCACTCAACTTCCGCTTCCGGCAAGCAAAAGAAAAGGTTGCAGGCAAGTCTCGCGATATCTAGAGTTCACTTTTTTGCCACGCCCCGTTTCCCCCAAGGAAGGTGTGGTATGCAGGTAGACTACTAGTAACAAAGCTGCAGACGCCGCAGTCTATTTATGCCCCAGTCTATTTACGTGGTGGCTGGGCCAAACGCAAGTTCTAGGATGCCCAGGAGGGGCGGGAAAGGCGAACCTACGAAATGCTGGCGGGATCTGTGGAGGAGCAGGCGCGGGGAGCAGACACTACAGGACTATTGAGCGATGTCGCATCTCACTCCCGCCAGCGCGAGCCTCGGTAGTAAGATTTCTGTAGTCCCTTTGGTACATGTTTTTGCGGAAACATTCAAACTTTGCTCCACCTGCAGTGTAGGTGTCCAGCTACCTCCAAGAATCCTGCGTATTTCTTCTCAAATGTTCCTCAGGTGTACAAATGCTGAATTTCCCAAACCTAACGACCGTTTCCCTCCCAAATTATTTCCCAGACCATGCGCGCCTCTTAATACAACCAACTTGGAAACTTTAATGTCTAAATTGGATGCCCTTTGTTTCTATCAGTGGCCAAGTTCTGTCGATTCTAATCCTGCATTAAATCCAGCATCTGTCCGATCGCCCTACCCACTGCCTACACCTAACCAAAGTTCTTACTGTTATTCCTTGGTTGACAGGAATGAAGTACTTCTCATTGATGCCCTTTGTCTTAACATCACCCCCTGCCAACCTATAGATTTAGTTGCCTTCAAGCATGGCTGTGATGTAAAATTATTCATTGCTCCGTTTTGCCTGTAGACTAAAAGCCAAATTTGTTAACTTGGATTTAAAACACTATTTTCTTCTCTTCCCTTTTTATTCTCTCCCTGCACATGGTAAAACAGATCATATGAAGTATTTCATGCATGAACCAGGGAAGATTCCAATTCGTTGAACCTGGGAAATTGGAACTGAAAAGGGATATCCATAGGGTAAGTTTTGCAGCAGAAATGAGCTCAGAGATCAAACAGATTTGTAAAATTTGAGGTGATAGTGAAATATTCCAGAGAATATTTCTAGAGGGTTGACAGAAATATGGGGTTAAAGCTCAGGAAAGAGAGGCTGTGCTGTTAGTACCCGGGCCCTTGGGTGGACATTCTGGATCTAAACTTTGTTACTATTAATGGGATTATTTGTAAATAATATATACTCAGAAAAGTATATATTTCTTTCCTTTATATTCATATATGGCACCTAGGAGATCCTGAGCTTCTGAGAATTTCTATGAAGAACTCAGGATTACCAATTTTCAGGTCTTCAAATGAAGCTATTTCTACTCATAATGTTTTCTTATACTATTATATATTATCAATTATTGTACCTCATTTTCTGACATCAGAAAATAATCTGATCCATGGCAGAGAATATTCTAAATAACTAATACTGAAATTTTTTAATTAAACCTTTTTTGGTGGATATGTACTTATTTAAATTTAGTACTTATTTCTCTGGTATAACCAGAATATTTGGGCCATAATTTAATCTTCGCTTGGCAACTAAAGGTCATAGTTAGAGTATGTTATATATTCCACTGGATAGTAATATTTTTAGGCCTTATTAAATGTATGAGAAAGATTGCCCTTTACTAGTTGATTTGGGGCTGGGGGAATAGCTCGGTGGTATATGCTTAGATTGTATGAGGCCCTGTAGTCAATCTGAAGCACCACATACATATACAGGTTGATTTTGACCAGGCACACTGGCGCCCACCTGTAATCACAGCCACTCCATAGGCGGAGGCAAGAGGATCAATTTAGTAAGACTCTGTCTCAAAATAAAATAAAGGGCTGAGGGTATAGCTCAATGGTAGAGTACCTGTGTAGCACAACAAGGCCCTGGATTCAACCCCCAGTACTGAAGGAAAAAAATGTTGATATTGCCATCTATGTTATTTTATACCTCCACATAACTCTGTGTGTGTGTGTGTGTGTGTGTGTGAGAGAGAGAGAGAGAGAGAGAGAGAAGCAAACCAGAGGGGATTGAATCTAGGGACATTCCTACCATTGAGCTACATCCCCAGTTTTTGGTATTTTTTATTTGAGACAGAGTCTCACTAAATTGCCCAGGCTGGCCTCAAACTTCTGATCCTCCTGTCTCAGCCTGCTAATTGCTGACTTGGAATTTCAGGCATGTGCAACTATGCCTGGCTATTCATAATTGTTTTTAATGGCATTTGATTAGAAAATCAAGTTATAGATGTCATTTTTTTTTTACATCCAGCAGTTTTTATTTTCTATTTATTTGTTTTCAGTACTAGGGATTAAACCCAAGGCCTCACAAATGTTAGGCAAGTGCTTTACCACTGAGCTATACCCCTAGCCCTACATCTAGCTATTTTTTTTTCTAAAAAGATGAGTTTAAACTGTTTACTTTTAAAAAACTTTATTATTTATTTATATTTTATGTAGTGTTTAGGATTGGATCCAGTGCCTCACACATTCCAGGGAAGTGCTCTACCACTGAGCCACACCCCAGACCCATCTAGCTATCTTTAAAAAGGAGAAATAGGCTGACATAAACTATCACTTAGTACAATACCTGGCATAAAGTAAATGTTAGAATATATCTGGGAATTGGAAAAGATAATAGTCAAAATCAGAACTTGAAAATTGGATCATTTCAAGGCAATCCAAACTTTCCCAAACTATACGTAATATACATTCCAGTAATTCATTATTAAATGTCTTCTTCTTCACTTTTTTTTTTTTTTTTTTGGTACCAGGGATTGAACTCAGGGGACTTGGCCACTGAGCCACATCCTCAGTGCTATTTTGTATTTTTTTTTTTTTAATTTAGAGACAGAGTCTCACTGAGTTACTTATCTCCTCGACATTGCTAATGCTGGCTTTGAACTTGCAATCCTCCTGCCTCAGCCTCCCGAAATGCTGGGATTATAGCTGCTGGGATTACAGGCATGCCACAGTGCCCAGCTATTAAATGTGTTCTTCAGCTTGTATTTCATTGTTTGAAGCACAATATTTCATATTCTAGTACTTGAAGCATAAAAACTATTTGAATATCTTATTGTAAAAGTAACAATGAAGCATATGATACATACTATGTAAAAGAATTATGTTTATAAATAAAATCTTCTTCTAATTGGTTTCTTGTAATGACTGTATGCTAATGGCAAAGTCATTCCATTATACTCCCCTTTCCTTAGCATTTAGCATTGAGTACAGAAGTTTCAATAGCTTCTATATAATTAAGGAAAAAAACTTATAAATGCATAAAATAGAAGCCAAAGTGAATTCTCATTCTGGTAATCAAATGAAGTACTTAAAAATTTGCTTCTTCATAGTATAGAAACCTAAATATTACCATGTATAAAATCATAAGCTAGTTTTTGATAACTTTAAGAATCTTTACCTTAAATATTAAAACAGTTAAATGAATTAAGTTCAAGAATATTAGAGAATTGTATTAAAGACCTTAAAATAAAATTCTCTACTAAAAACAATTTTAAAACTTTCAAAACAATGAATATAAAACTGTTAAAACCATTGACAGTAGTAGATGCATTGTAGGTCAACTTACTGTTGTCAATGTGGAGAGCAAGAAAAAACATTTTATTTAGCAATTGAAATATTTAAGAAATACATGTAGAAATCTAAGTATTTTTAGCATAATTCATTTTAAAAATTCAATGTCAATAAGAATTGTGCTGGGGCTGGGGATGTGGCTCAAGTGGTGGTGTGCTGGCCTGGCATGTACAAGGCACTGGGTTCAATCCTCAGCACCACATAAAAATAAATAAAGATATGTGTCCACCTAAAACAAAAAAATAAATATTAAAAAAAAAGAATTGTGCTATAACACAAGTAGAAAAAGAACCATTATAACACTAACCATTGTCAAATGAAACACTTTAGAAAGTAAATGACATACAAGTTTGTGATTTGCCTTGACTATATAGATTAGTCTAAAAATCATGCTACTAATGGAACATCCTTTAAACCACAATATTTTACTTTAAAAGGCAAATATCCTCAGTTATTATTTATACCATCTTATCATTAAGGCCCTGCCTACATATAAAGTAAGTGAAATGAAGATCTGAAATGAAGTTTTTAATCATAGTTAACCCAAGCACATTATCCCTTTCCCTCCCACTCCCAACTCAATAAAGTGAGTATGGTATCAGTTTTAATTACTACTCTAGGGGAAATTAATTAAAACTACAAACCAGAAAATAGGTTTAATCAACTTTTTTGGGTTGTATTGGTTTAGTGGCTTTTAAAATTTTATAAAAGCTATGTAGATTAAGAATAAAATATCCAATTTATCAAATCACTTAAAATGAAATCTGTATCATGAGTTGGAGATTTATTATTATATATTCAAACTCTTTAAAAAAACTATTTTGTGAAGATGTGAATTTGGTGTCAACATACATTATGTATAATCAGAGATGATAAATTGTGGTATAAAGGTGTATTAAGAATTGTAATGCAAAAAATAATGATAATAATAATAAGAGAGCTCATGTATAATGGCATAATAAATAAATAAATAAGCAAAAAAAAAATTGGTTCTGGGATTGAACCCAGGGTTTCATACATGATAGGGAAGTACTCTACCACTGAGCTACATCCCATCCCCTAATGTTTGTTGTTATTTTTTAAAATTTTATTTCAAGACAAAGTCTTGCAAAATTGCCTAGGCTAGCCTCAAACTTGAGATCCCCCTGTCTCAGCCTGCTGAGTAGTTGTGTTGGAATTTCCATTGGTATTGAGATGTGTTGTTTATATCAAATTAATCCTGTTGTTAGTCTTCAAAAATAATAATATATGGGCTGGGGTTGTGGCTTGATGGTAGAGTGCTTGCCTAGCATGTGCTCAGCACCACATGAAAACAAATAAATAAAATAAAAGGTATTGTGTCCAACTACAACTAAAAAAATAAATATAAAAAAAATAATGTATACATGTTTATTGGGGAGAATGAGAATATGACAGTAGTTAATATCAGTTTTGTGTGTTAGGAAAAAAATGTCTTTAAAACATTTTTACCTCCCATAATGATTTACCTATCAAAATGACTTTAGTGGGAAACTGAAACTTTTTAAAATCCATATTTGATAATGGATTAGGAACATTAGATTTTTCCAATTTTTTTTTATATTAAGTACACATATGGGGGAAGATGACTGTAGGACTATATATCTTCAAATTGCTATTACATGATTTCTTGTGACTTTTAGTAGCATTAATAAATTTTTTAAAATAAAAACAATCTAAGAGTTTAAGAAGAATATAGTATTTCTCCTGCATGGTGAGATTGGAGTGGTTTTTCATTTTTTTTTAACTTTATACATTACTTTTATAATAAACTTCCAAGAGCAAAAAAGATAGCTGTGTGATGTTGGGCACCAACTCACCTATCATGTAACCACTTTGATAATAAATAACTGTCAAATTATCCAAATCTACCATATGGTGATTCACAGAAGTTATTCAGACACCTGAAATGATTATGGATCAGACATAATGAATGCCACAGATAGAATACAGAAAAAAATTGTTATGATTAAAGCCAAGTCTTTAAATAGGTATACTTTCTTAGAAAGTTTTCAACTATTTTATCCACCTCAGAAATTCTGTTAAACCTATGGGATGTCAGAGATTACAGAGTATTTTTACAATTCTGCTTTTAATATAATACTTCCCATAGGCATAATCTAATTTAAGTGTGGGTCATTTTAATATAAATCAGCAATCTAAAAATTTACATTTTATAAACTAATTCTAAGGCTGGGGTTGTATCTCAGTGGTAGAGCACTTGCCAGACACATGTGAGGCACTGGGTTCAATGCTCAGCACCACATAAAAATAAATAAATAAAGTTATTGTTTTTAAGTTTTTAGTTAAAAAATAACTAAAAAATAAAAAATAAATAAAACTAAAAAATAAATAAAAAAAACCAAACTATTGCTATCCTAGAAAAGTATACAATAAATATACAGACATCAGAATATATGCCTCTAAAATATATATAAAAAATTTAATCAGCCTTACTGTGTAATTTCTTAAAATAAGAAATAAATTTGAAAATTGCATGAGCTAGAAAAATCATGGCATTCTATAGGTAATCCTATTTTATAAATATAGTAACTAAACAGTTTTTTAAATTAATTAATTTATTTTAATTAGGTATATATGACAGCAGAATGCATTTTGATTCGTTGTACACAATTGCAGCGCAACTTTTCATTTCAGTAGTTATACACGATGTAGCGTCACACCATATATGCAGTCATACATGTACCTAGGGTAATGATGTCCATCTCATTCTACCATTTTTCCCGCCTCTATGCAACCTCCCTATCCTTCCTCCCCTTTGCCCAATCACAGTTACTCCATTTTTCCCATGCCTCCTCCCTCCCCATTAGCATCCACTTATCAGAGAGAACATTTGGCCTTTGTTTTTTGGGATTGGCTTACTTTGCTTAGCAAGATATTCTCCAACTCCATTCATTTACCTGCAAATGCCATAACTTTATTCTCTTTTATTGCTAAGTAATATTCCATTGTGTGTGTGTGTATATATATATATATATATATATATATATATATATATATATATACACACACACACACAGTTTCTTTATCCATTCATCTATTGAGGGGCATCTAAGTTGCTTTCATAGTTTAGCTACTGTGAATTGAGCTGCTATGAACATTGATGTGGCTGTGTTACTATAGTATGCTGATTTTAAGTCTTTTGGGTATAAACAGAGGAGTGGGATACCTGGGTCAAATGGTGGTTCCATTCCAAGTTTTCTAAATAATATCCAACCTGCTTTCCAGATACGTTACACCAATTTGCAGTTTTATCAGCAATGTATGAGTGTGCCTTTTAGGTTTTTTTTTTTTTTTTAATATATAGCATGCTACTATACCTGAATGAGGTCTATACAGCCATCCTAAAAGTATCTATATTGAGGTTTAGAATACATGCATATTTTTTAAAAATCACCATTTTTGACTAGCACAAGTTAACAAAAAAACATTTTTTTTTTGCTTAAGTGACCAAGAAGACATTTCTTTTATGTTCATATCACAAATTTTATAGGGCCAAGAAGCTGGCAAATTTGTCCAAAAGTGATGATTAGTAGGTTTCTATAAATAACAGCTTTTAAAGAAGCATCTCCCCCACCACGACCTCTGCAACTGAAGATTGACCCCTGTGGTGCCCCACCATGAGCTACATCCCCTGACCAAGAAGCATCATTTTGTTCAAAGAAACATTTTAATGTCCAAGTAGTGAGAACTTTCTTCCTTTTCTAGTTTTACAGTGTTTTTTTTTTTTATAGCAAAATCCATATTTTCTTAAAACTTTTTGCTTTGGTGATTGGAAGTGCTACACAGTTGTTACACTTGTTTCCAACAACAACAACAAAAATTCATATGTAGACACTTAGTTGAAGGAGTGGGTTTAAATCCAGCAGGTGGAATGGGAATGCAACCAGATGCAAAAATAAAAATGTCTTTCACTATAGCAGATTTACTATCCTCAGTAGTCTGTAACTATTTCAAAACGTGTATATCAGATAATGGGTGTACTGTAATGGTTTTTATAGAAATATTATCAAGGTTATGTGAAAGGCTGTTATAAAATGCTTCTAGATAAGTCTGAATTTTCTCCAAAATACCAAAAGTTTTTAGACCTCGCTTAAAACTTTCAAAGGATACTTGGACTTTCTCAATTACATTGTAGACAGATATGTTTTTAAAACAACACATATTTTTCATTGAATGTTGTTATAAATCTCAGATATCCAGTAAGCTCCTGGTAGTTTATTGGAATGATTTATTATCAAGTCAGCTATATTCATTGTAGTCTTTATACCAATTATAATTATAATTTGTGCCATGTCGAAGTCTGAAAAATTGTCTTTAGAAATTCTTGCTTTGATCCAGAATGCTCTCTTTCAAAATTATCGTTTTCATTAACATATGCCATTTTAATTGTGTCTGAAGGATTAAGTTTTAGTTTCTGAATCCATCTAGGGCTATATTCTAGGTAGTGGTTTCATTGATCTGTTTTTAGTTTTTTGTGTTTGTTTGAACTTAGAGACACTTTACCACTGAGCTACATCCCCAGCCTATTTTTTCATCTGAGATAGGGTCTCACTAACTAAGTTGCTGAGGTTGGTCTCAAACCTGAGATCCTCTGACTCAGCCTCTTGAGTAGCTGGGATTACAGGTGTGTGCCACTGTACCCAGCTAGTGATTTTTTTGTGTGTTTGTGTGTGTGTCTGTGTCTGTGTCTGTGTGTGTTTAATTTGGAATCTTAATTTTATTGGTATAGTTGGAATATCTTTTCTAAACTTGCTGCCTTGCTGTAGTGGGTTCCAGGTGACTGGGTAATTTAAGTGATGACTCCTCCAATAGTCATTATTTATCACATTATTAGAGTTAGGTATTGTGCATTTTTTTTGCTTTTTTGAAAATCTAAATTGTAGATAATACCTCTACATTTCAAATACTTCCAATTTTGTTCCCATTATTGTACTGAGGAACAGGCTAAATGTGTTCTGCCAGAACCACAACAGTGATGGCACTTTATTTCCCATTTACTGTCAGGTGCATTATAGTCTCACCCTTCTCTGTAACTGCGTCTTTGAACACTTCTGTGCTGCAGAAGCTCTTGATAAGTATTCCCTCTAATTCCCAAGATGCATCTTTTTCAGAAATATGAATTCCCATTCCTAAAATCTCATCACTATTTTTGCATATTGTACCCCTAAAGAAAAACACTCTCAAATTTATTGCTTGAACCTATAAACAGTTTGATGAAACCAAGCATCCTTACAATAAGTACTTCATAATATGCTTTAAGTTGTAATAAGCTCAATAGATTCCAAGTAAGTGGTGCATAGTAAGGCGTCTCTGTAATTACCAATTATACTTATTTTGAACAGGTTGATGTTTCCAATAAGATGGGACAAAATTTCCAGTAACCTGGAAAATACATTCTCTATGACACCTACATGGAAAATGCCAACTTTGTTTATATCAAGATATATCCAACTAAAGCACCAGTTTTCTTGCAAACACCACATTTCAATTTAAAAACTCTATCACCTCCTTCTTGATGTCTCCTACTAAACACCAGAAACTCCTTCTTTACTCCCTGTCATTCCACTTGACATCAACACACAATAATGAAGTACAGTGAAATTCCATTTCTCATGAGCTTTCTTTTCTCCATATTTATTAGGACAGTCATCATTTTTTTTAACAAAACACACACACACACACACACACACAAGAAAGGTTCTATGAGTCACCAGAGTTGTTTTCATTCCTTTTAAAAGGCACACCAAGGAAATTCTGGAGCGGCTGTGTCTTTTTTCCCTTCTTGTACTGCATTATATAATGCCAATAAGCAGCCACACCCAATATCCCACAAAATTAAAATAAATAAATAAATATATATATATATATATATTAGTTTAAAAAATTGAAGTTTTCTTTCACTTGTCTTTTTTTTTTGTACCAGGGATTGAAATCAGGGGCACATGACCACTGAGCCACAACCCCAGCCCTTTTTCATATTTTATTTAGAGACAGGGTCTCACTGAGTTGCTTAGCAACTCTCATCCTCCTGCCTCAGACTCCTGAGCTGCTAGGATTACAGGCATGCACCAACGCATCTGGCAAAATTAAAGTTTTCTTTAGGAAATTTTGTGTGACAATACCATCTTATGTAATTTCTAGTGGGTTTTTTTCAAGTGGTTATAGACATTTTGTCTGATTTATGAAAACCTATTTGTTTACATTGCAGCAAAATGTACATAATATAACATTTACCATTTCTACACCTTTAAGTGTACATTGCAACGACATTAGTATTTTCACATTGTTGGTTTTTTTTTTTAACCTTGTTTTTTTTTTTTTTTTTTTTTTTTTTTGGTGTTGGGGATCAAACTCAGGGCCTTGTGAAGCAAGCACTCTACCAACTGAGCTATATCCCTGGCCCAGTATTTTCACACTGTTGTGCCACCATTACCACTATCCTACTCTAGAAGTTATATCTTTTTTTTTTAATTTTTTTATTGTTGGTTGTTCAAAACATTACATAGTTCTTGATATATCATATTTCACACTTTGATTCAAGTGGGTTATGAACTCCCATTTTTACCCCGTATACAGATTGCAGAATCACATCAGTTACACATCCATTGATTTACATATTGCCATACTAGTGTCTGTTGTATTCTGCTGCCTTTCCTATCCTCTACTATCCCCCCTCCCCTCCCCTCCCCTCTTCTCTTCTCTCTCTACCCCCTCTACTGTCATTCATTTCTCCCCCTTGTATTATTTTCCCCTTTTCCCTCACTTCCTCTTGTATGAAATTTTGTATAACCCTGAGGGTCTCCTTCCATTTCCATGCAATTTCCCTTCTCTCTCCTTTTCCCTCCCACCTCTCATCCCAGTTTAATGTTAATCTTCTTCTCCTGCTCTTCGTCCCTACTCTGTTCTTAGTTACTCTCCTTATACCAAAGAAGACATTTGGCATTTGTTTTTTAGGGATTGGCTAGCTTCACTTAGCATAATCTGCTCTAATGCCATCCATTTCCCTGCAAATTCTATGATTTTGTCATTTTTTAATGCAGAGTAATACTCCATTGTGTATAAATGCCACATTTTTTTTATCCATTCGTCTATTGAAGGGCATCTAGGTTGGTTCCACAGTCTTGCTATTGTGAATTGTGCTGCTATGAACGTCGATCTACATACTGTGGGGTCGGGCTCCAAATTCCTCAATAGGACACCCATAGCACAAAAGTTAATAACTAGAATCAACAAATGGGACTTACTCAAACTAAAAAGTTTTTTCTCAGCAAAAGAAACAATAAGAGAGGTAAATAGGGAGCCTACATCCTGGGAACAAATCTTTACTCCTCACACTTCAGATAGAGCCCTAATATCCAGAGTATACAAAGAACTCAAAAAATTAGACAATAAGATAACAAATAACCCAATCAACAAATGGGCCAAGGACCTGAACAGACACTTCTCAGAGGAGGACATACAATCAATCAACAAGTACATGAAAAAATGCTCACCATCTCTAGCAGTCAGAGAAATGCAAATCAAAACCACCCTAAGATACCATCTCACTCCAGTAAGATTGGCAGCCATTATGAAGTCAAACAACAACAAGTGCTGGCGAGGATGTGGGGAAAAGGGTACACTTGTACATTGCTGGTGGGACTGCAAATTGGTGCAGCCAATTTGGAAAGCAGTATGTAGATTTCTTGGAAAGCTGGGAATGGAACCACCATTTGACCCAGCTATTCCCCTTCTCGGTCTATTCCCTAAAGACCTAAAAAGAGCATGCTATAGAAGTTATATCTTTATCTTTCCAAATTGAAACTTTGTATCCATTAAGCAATAACTTCCCATTTCCCACACCTAGTCCTTAGCAATCCCCATTCTACTTTCTGAATTTGGT